ATTAACTTATAATAAAATTATTAACGAGAATAAGAAAGCATCATATTAAGTACATTTTTCGAACTTTATGCGCCAATATAAACAAAACTATCATTTTAAAAACAGTTTTTCAAAGTGCGATGTTGTTATAGAACGCTTGTTTAGTTAGCTGCACCAGATCATATAAAGGGGTTACAGATTAAGAAAAATTATGTATGGCCTTTTACCTTTCGACTCAAGTAGCCGGCTTTACGAAAATTCTAGATAAAAATAATTAAATAATTAACGAAAAATTTGCAGGTTCATTAGGATTTTTCTCATCTAATAAAAATTTAATTCAGCTTAAGTGAAAAAATTAAAAAAAAAAAAAAAAAATACGAATATATGTATTTTTAAAATAAGAAATAATTTATTTCATATTATTGATTTTTCTATTTAATCAGACTACTAAAATCATATATCACAAATATTTTAATAACTATATGGCCAATATATGTAATTTTAAATAATTATTTTACAGTCTTCTAACACTTTAATACAAAATCATTGAGCATTAAAATTAACATATTTTCACAAATTAATCAATTTTTAAAATTAATCTACTTCTTCTACTGTTGGTCCTGGCCTTGAGCCTCCAAAACCACCTGCTTGCGTACCACAACCGCCTGCTTGCGTCTGTGAGCTACCTTGATGCAATTTTGTCATGATTGGACTACAAACTTTACTAAGTTCTTTCATTTTATCCTCATATTCTTCTTTTTCAGCTAAAGTGTTATTATCCAACCACTTGACTGTTTCATCACACCATTGCATTACTTGGTCTTTATCTGATTTTGTTAATTTATCTCCGGCTTGTTCAACTGCTTGTTTAACACTAAATACATATCCTTCTAAACTATTGCGGGCAGTAATTTTTTGACGTTGTTTCTCATCTTCCTCTTGATATCGTTCGGCTTCTGAAACCATTCTGTCTATTTCTGCTTGAGATAATCGTCCTTTATCATTCTTGATTGTAATATTTTTCTCTTTACCAGTACTCATTTCTTTAGCAGAAACAGTTAATATACCATTTGCATCCATATCAAAAGTTACATCAATTTTTGGTACCCCTCTTGGTGCTGGTGGTATACCAGATAAATCAAAGTTTCCTAGCAAATTGTTGTCTTTTGTCATTGCTCTTTCTCCTTCAAATACTTGAATGCTAACTCCAGGTTGGTTATCTGAGTATGTAGAGAAAGTTTGTGTTTGTTTGCATGGAATCCTTGAATTTCTTTCGATTATTTTTGTCATTACTCCACCAGCTGTTTCAATACCAAGAGAAAGTGGTGCAACATCTACTAAAAGTACATCTTGTATTTTGGAATCTTTACTGCCTGTTAGAATGGCTGCTTGGATTGCTGCTCCATAAGCAACAGCTTCATCAGGATTAATTGATAAATTTAATGACTTGCCATTGAAGAATTGTTGTAAAAGATTTTGAACTTTTGGAATTCGGGTTGATCCTCCAACCAACACAATGTCGTGAATTTGACTTTTATCCATTTTTGCATCATTTAATGCCTTCTCAACTGGATGTAATGTTGATCTGAATAAATCTGCACAAAGTTCTTCAAATCTTGCCCGAGATATTTTCGTGTAAAAATCAACACCTTCAAACAGAGCATCAATTTCTATTGAAGCTTCAGTGCTTGATGAAAGAGTTCGTTTCGCTCGTTCAGCGGCGGTTCTCAAACGACGCAAGGCTCTTGGATTTGAACGGAGATCTTTCTTATATTTTCTCTTAAATTCTTCTGCGAAATGGTTGACCAATCTATTATCAAAATCTTCTCCACCTAAATGTGTATCTCCAGCCGTAGCTCTTACTTCAAATAAAGATCCTTCATCAATTGTTAAAATTGAGACGTCAAATGTTCCACCACCCAAATCAAAGATTAACACATTTTTTTCACCAGATAAATTTTTATCTAATCCATACGCTAAAGCGGCAGCTGTTGGCTCATTAATTATTCTGAGAACATTTAAGCCCGCTATGGCACCAGCATCTTTTGTGGCTTGTCTTTGAGAATCGTTGAAATATGCTGGCACAGTAATTACAGCATCTTTAACAGTTTCGCCAAGGTATGCTTCTGCAGTTTCTTTCATCTTAGTTAAAACCATTGAACTAATTTCTTCTGGTGAAAATCGTTTTGTTTCTCCTTTGAATTCTGCACAAATTTTTGGTTTCCCATTGTCGCTAACTACTTTGAATGGCCAATGTTTGACGTCTTCTTGAATTTTAGGATCATTGTATTTTCGTCCAATTAATCTTTTGGCATCAAAAATTGTATTTTTGGGATTCATTGCTACTTGATTCTTAGCTGCATCTCCAATTAAACGCTCAGAATCTGTAAATGCAACATAGCTTGGTGTTGTTCTATTTCCTTGGTCGTTAGCAATGATTTCCACTTTTCCGTGTTGAAAAACTCCAACACAGGAGTATGTTGTTCCTAAATCAATTCCAACTGCTGGCATTTTGTATTTTTTTACTTTGTACTTTCTTTTTTCAATATAATAATCACTTAAATTTGAAGAAATTTTCAAAACTTTTTGTAATGTTTTGATTTTAATGTTTTCGCTTGTTTTTTTAATTCAATACTGAATCGAGTTGAACGATGTACGGGTTTATATATGATTTTATAAAATTAAAGAAATTTCCAGATATTGAAAGAGAAATTTCTAGATCTTTCAAGATATTTTTTAAGCATTCAATAAAATAACAGATATAGAGAATTTTCTGTTAATAAAAATATTGTTTTATAATTTTCTTGAGTAAGAAGGAGACAAAAAATCACAAAATCTGTTAATGAAAATTTCTGTTAGCTGTGAAGAATTTTTGCTAATGTAAAATACTCTGTAACATCTGTTACTGGTAGTGCTGTTATTTCGATTTAATTTTTATTAGTTGACGGAAATTATAATACAAAATTACAGTTAGAAGTAAAATATTACAGATTAAATTTTGTTTATATTAAATTGCTGTAATGCTAATTTTGGATCTCCTATACTTAGTCCTAACAGATGTGGCAAAATAACAGTAACAGAGTTCATCCAGTTCATTCATTGAGTAATGATTTACATAACATTCAACATTGCAAAGCTCACGACCTTTTTCTAACATAAAGCCATTTTCATACAAAAAAATTATCAAAAGTTGTTTTGCCTTGATCACTTTCCCATTCTCTCATCTTTTGTTCTTTCTTCTCATTAAAATTAGAAAACGGAATTGTTGTTGCTATTGGTTCTAATTTATTATTTATAACCATTTGAATTAAACAGAGATAAAGAAAAATATTGCAAATAAAAAACTCAAAATGTGATATCGTGGTTCGTGAGATCATAATTCATAGAGATATGTATACATTTTTTTCTCTTTCATAATGAAATGAGTGATAATAATATATTTCATATTTTATGTAATTGTATGTACATATTAATATTAATATAATTGGACATTTCATATTTAATTACACAAAATTAATTACATAAACAAACAAACATTAACATTATCTTATTTTCCCTTTATGTGTGAGTTGGAAATATTTTAATTCATGTAAGGAAGAGCTAAAGAAACTAAAATTGCAAGTATATAAAAGTGAGTGAACTAAATATTAATATTTATTTTAGAACATCTTTGATTCAATTTTATCAGGTCCAAACTACCTATCTATCTATCTGGTGTTTACTTAACATTCTAAGGCGCATAATTAATACCTTACCTCATCTTATTCAAATAAGTATATACTTTTTCTGCTCTAATAATACATATACCAAAAATAAGATTTTACGTCAACTTTACTTCTTTACTTACTCATAATGCATACATCTACAAAATATGTCCTTTCATTTCAGAAACTTGTACTCGTATTATTTTATTTAGTATGTATCTACATAATGCGTACAGATTTTTAATAAGTTTTCAAGAAACTAAGTAACTCCACTCAACTCTATTTTCAAACGAGTCATAGATATTCGTTTTATTTTTGATATGAACAAAAAATCAAAAAGGAAAGTTGACGTAAAATCTTATTTTTGGTATATGTATTATTAGAGCAGAAAAAGTATATACTTATTTGAATAAGATGAGGTAAGGTATTAATTATGCGCCTTAGAATGTTAAGTAAACACCAGATAGATAGATAGGTAGTTTGGACCTGATAAAATTGAATCAAAGATGTTCTAAAATAAATATTAATATTTAGTTCACTCACTTTTATATACTTGCAATTTTAGTTTCTTTAGCTCTTCCTTACATGAATTAAAATATTTCCAACTCACACATAAAGGGAAAATAAGATAATGTTAATGTTTGTTTGTTTATGTAATTAATTTTGTGTAATTAAATATGAAATGTCCAATTATATTAATATTAATATGTACATACAATTACATAAAATATGAAATATATTATTATCACTCATTTCATTATGAAAGAGAAAAAAATGTATACATATCTCTATGAATTATGATCTCACGAACCACGATATCACATTTTGAGTTTTTTATTTGCAATATTTTTCTTTATCTCTGTTTTGTTCAAATGGTTATAAATAATAAATTAGAACCAATAGCAACAACAATTCCGTTTTCTAATTTTAATGAGAAGAAAGAACAAAAGATGAGAGAATGGGAAAGTGATCAAGGCAAAACAACTTTTGATAATTTTTTTGTATGAAAATGGCTTTATGTTAGAAAAAGGTCGTGAGCTTTGCAATGTTGAATGTTATGTAAATGATTACTCAATGAATGAACTGGATGAACTCTGTTACTGTTATTTTGCCACATCTGTTAGGACTAAGTATAGGAGATCCGAAAATTCTCTATATCTGTTATTTTATTGAATGCTTAAAAAATATCTTGAAAGATCTAGAAATTTCTCTTTCAATATCTGGAAATTTCTTTAATTTTATAAAATCATATATAAACCCGTACATCGTTCAACTCGATTCAGTATTGAATTAAAAAAACAAGCGAAAACATTAAAATCAAAACATTACAAAGAGTTTTGAAAATTTCTTCAAATTTAAGTGATTATTATATTGAAAAAAGAAAGTACAAAGTAAAAAAATACAAAATGCCAGCAGTTGGAATTGATTTAGGAACAACATACTCCTGTGTTGGAGTTTTTCAACACGGAAAAGTGGAAATCATTGCTAACGACCAAGGAAATAGAACAACACCAAGCTATGTTGCATTTACAGATTCTGAGCGTTTAATTGGAGATGCAGCTAAGAATCAAGTAGCAATGAATCCCAAAAATACAATTTTTGATGCCAAAAGATTAATTGGACGAAAATACAATGATCCTAAAATTCAAGAAGACGTCAAACATTGGCCATTCAAAGTAGTTAGCGACAATGGGAAACCAAAAATTTGTGCAGAATTCAAAGGAGAAACAAAACGATTTTCACCAGAAGAAATTAGTTCAATGGTTTTAACTAAGATGAAAGAAACTGCAGAAGCATACCTTGGCGAAACTGTTAAAGATGCTGTAATTACTGTGCCAGCATATTTCAACGATTCTCAAAGACAAGCCACAAAAGATGCTGGTGCCATAGCGGGCTTAAATGTTCTCAGAATAATTAATGAGCCAACAGCTGCCGCTTTAGCCTATGGATTAGATAAAAATTTATCTGGTGAAAAAAATGTGTTAATCTTTGATTTGGGTGGTGGAACATTTGACGTCTCAATTTTAACAATTGATGAAGGATCTTTATTTGAAGTAAGAGCTACGGCTGGAGATACACATTTAGGTGGAGAAGATTTTGATAATAGATTGGTCAACCATTTCGCAGAAGAATTTAAGAGAAAATATAAGAAAGATCTCCGTTCAAATCCAAGAGCCTTGCGTCGTTTGAGAACCGCCGCTGAACGAGCGAAACGAACTCTTTCATCAAGCACTGAAGCTTCAATAGAAATTGATGCTCTGTTTGAAGGTGTTGATTTTTACACGAAAATATCTCGGGCAAGATTTGAAGAACTTTGTGCAGATTTATTCAGATCAACATTACATCCAGTTGAGAAGGCATTAAATGATGCAAAAATGGATAAAAGTCAAATTCACGATATTGTGTTGGTTGGAGGATCAACCCGAATTCCAAAAGTTCAAAATCTTTTACAACAATTCTTCAATGGCAAGTCATTAAATTTATCAATTAATCCTGATGAAGCTGTTGCTTATGGAGCAGCAATCCAAGCAGCCATTCTAACAGGCAGTAAAGATTCCAAAATACAAGATGTACTTTTAGTAGATGTTGCACCACTTTCTCTTGGTATTGAAACAGCTGGTGGAGTAATGACAAAAATAATCGAAAGAAATTCAAGGATTCCATGCAAACAAACACAAACTTTCTCTACATACTCAGATAACCAACCTGGAGTTAGCATTCAAGTATTTGAAGGAGAAAGAGCAATGACAAAAGACAACAATTTGCTAGGAAACTTTGATTTATCTGGTATACCACCAGCACCAAGAGGGGTACCAAAAATTGATGTAACATTTGATATGGATGCAAATGGTATATTAACTGTTTCTGCTAAAGAAATGAGTACTGGTAAAGAGAAAAATATTACAATCAAGAATGATAAAGGACGATTATCTCAAGCAGAAATAGACAGAATGGTTTCAGAAGCCGAACGATATCAAGAGGAAGATGAGAAACAACGTCAAAAAATTACTGCCCGCAATAGTTTAGAAGGATATGTATTTAGTGTTAAACAAGCAGTTGAACAAGCCGGAGATAAATTAACAAAATCAGATAAAGACCAAGTAATGCAATGGTGTGATGAAACAGTCAAATGGTTGGATAATAACACTTTAGCTGAAAAAGAAGAATATGAGGATAAAATGAAAGAACTTAGTAAAGTTTGTAGTCCAATCATGACAAAATTGCATCAAGGTAGCTCACAGACGCAAGCAGGAGGTTGTGGTACGCAAGCAGGTGGTTTTGGAGGTTCAAGACCAGGACCAACAGTAGAAGAAGTAGATTAATTTAACAAATCGCTTAATTTTAGTTGAAGATTATGTTATTAGACAAATTTTTAAAAGACTGTAAAAAATTTAGTTAGAAAATATTAAATTAATTAAATTTCCTATAATTGTTAAAATGTTTATAATTTATAATTTTAGCATATTAATTTATTGCAGAAATTAGAAGTATGTATTTAAAAATAAATTTTAATTTAAAAAACAAATGTTTACTGGTATTTATTTTAAAAATAGAAAGTCTTTTGAGTTTTGGACACCCTTATCTTAAAATCTAGTAGGGAATAACAAAGCCCTCTTTTACAATTATTCCATAAGTTTATTTGTACATGAGATGACAGATTTTGACATTGTATGAGTAAAATTACGCTAATGGAACAATTTATTTCATCCATTCCAAATAAACATTATAATTTCCTCTAATTTTTTTTTTCTCTAACATTTTAAATCCTCAACATTGACATTGTATTGTTTTAGTTTTGCATTACCTACGAGAGTTACATAAGGTTTCTTAGCTCACCTTTAATTTCCAAAAAATTTTGATGTGTTCACTATACGTTCTTTTTATAATAAACTTTTCCTTACAAAACGTACTTCGAAATAAAACCCAGTACTATCAACTAAAAGTTTTACAAAAGTAAGTAAAACTATCCGTGACTTCAATAATGCTGTAAAAAGATTTAAGTACCGTATTAATACGGTTGTAGTACCGTCTCAGAGCTTTCAATACCTTTACATTGTAATAAAAACTACTAAAGCTTTTCGTACATTTTGGAATACAATTTTTATAATATTATTACATACTTTGACGTTTGTTTGAAAAGTTCAATTTAAAGTTCTGTGCAAATGATAATTTTTAACAAACATTACCAAGTCATTAAAAACATTGCATTTTTATGCTGCATTTTAGGAAAAAAACTTAATAACTAGCACTTTATTGCTAGTTATTAGTAAAATGCTAATTTATTTAATTGGTTATTTATGGCAACATTTATATGACAAGGTATAAGAAAATAGTGCTCGATTTTTTCGATACCCGATTTACTTTTATTTTACGTCTCCACTACGTATAAAACGCATTTAGGGAAAGTGTACAATGTCAAGAGCTTTTACTAAACTTTTTGGAACTTGATACTTTGTAAAATTTACGTCGTGAACGCATTATTGAAGTCACGGTATCTGAATGCGCCACATGCATACCTATTTCGTATGCAGTCCAAACTTCATAGATTTTCTTTGCAAACACTAAGAGACTGTTAACAATGTATCAAGAAGGTGCTAGCCCCAAAATGAGACTCAAATAAAACTAGAGTGAACTCAAAATTAAAGGGGTATTTTTGGCTTTGCTGTAATCATGTAGTTGATTCTAATTTTAAGCCAAATTCGCATTCTCTAGTTAACGTAATTGAAAGTATTAGAAAAGTAAGTTACTTAAAAGCTCCTCTCTAGTTAGCTATAAATATTTTTATGCTATGAAATTTTGTTTTTAAATCCCGGTTTCCTCTAACATAAAATAGTTGTTATACAAATTAAATTTCCAGGCTTTCACACGTATTCATATGTATAGACATCCATGCAGCAAAACAGTTGATAACGTTAACATAAAGAGTTTTGGTTAACGAAATTTCCGTTATATCCTTCTATAGAACAAGTAGAATTTTAAAATTTTCAGGCTCAAAATTGCCACTCGTATTTTAATTTTCTGGAATATTTTTGAATTTTCTAGAATCTAGATTCTATAACGGACGAAAATAATGTCGAAAAATATAAAAATTTTCTGTCCACTAAATACACAGAAAATAATTTCTGTGTTCTTATAATAGACACCATTACATTTTTGGTATTTTATCCTTACTCTGTTCTAGATTTATTAAAATATGTAAGTATAGTTGAAACCAAAAGTGCATTACAAAGTTTGCATTACAGCAATTTAAAATAACAGCACTACCACTAACACATTAGCAAAAATTCATCACAGTTAACAGAAATTTTCATTAACAGATTTTGTGATTTTTCGTCTCCTTCTTACTCAACAAAAATATAAAACCATAATTTTATTAACAGAAAATTCTTTATATCTGTTATTTTATTGAATGCTTAAAAAATATCTTGAAAGATCTAGAAATTTCTCTTTCAATATCTGGAAATTTCTTTAATTTTATAAAATCATATATAAACCCGTACATCGTTCAACTCGATTCAGTATTGAATTAAAAAAACAAGCGAAAACATTAAAATCAAAACATTACAAAAAGTTTTGAAAATTTCTTCAAATTTAAGTGATTATTATATTGAAAAAAGAAAGTACAAAGTAAAAAAATACAAAATGCCAGCAGTTGGAATTGATTTAGGAACAACATACTCCTGTGTTGGAGTTTTTCAACACGGAAAAGTGGAAATCATTGCTAACGACCAAGGAAATAGAACAACACCAAGCTATGTTGCATTTACAGACTCTGAGCGTTTAATTGGAGATGCAGCTAAGAATCAAGTAGCAATGAATCCCAAAAATACAATTTTTGATGCCAAAAGATTAATTGGACGAAAATACAATGATCCTAAAATTCAAGAAGACGTCAAACATTGGCCATTCAAAGTAGTTAGCGACAATGGGAAACCAAAAATTTGTGCAGAATTCAAAGGAGAAACAAAACGATTTTCACCAGAAGAAATTAGTTCAATGGTTTTAACTAAGATGAAAGAAACTGCAGAAGCATACCTTGGCGAAACTGTTAAAGATGCTGTAATTACTGTGCCAGCATATTTCAACGATTCTCAAAGACAAGCCACAAAAGATGCTGGTGCCATAGCGGGCTTAAATGTTCTCAGAATAATTAATGAGCCAACAGCTGCCGCTTTAGCGTATGGATTAGATAAAAATTTATCTGGTGAAAAAAATGTGTTAATCTTTGATTTGGGTGGTGGAACATTTGACGTCTCAATTTTAACAATTGACGAAGGATCTCTATTTGAAGTAAGAGCTACAGCTGGAGATACACATTTAGGTGGAGAAGATTTTGATAATAGATTGGTCAACCATTTCGCAGAAGAATTTAAGAGAAAATATAAGAAAGATCTCCGTTCAAATCCAAGAGCCTTGCGTCGTTTGAGAACCGCCGCTGAACGAGCGAAACGAACTCTTTCATCAAGCACTGAAGCTTCAATAGAAATTGATGCTCTGTTTGAAGGTGTTGATTTTTACACGAAAATATCTCGTGCAAGATTTGAAGAACTTTGTGCAGATTTATTCAGATCAACATTACATCCAGTTGAGAAGGCATTAAATGATGCAAAAATGGATAAAAGTCAAATTCACGACATTGTGTTGGTTGGAGGATCAACCCGAATTCCAAAAGTTCAAAATCTTTTACAACAATTCTTCAATGGCAAGTCATTAAATTTATCAATTAATCCTGATGAAGCTGTTGCTTATGGAGCAGCAATCCAAGCAGCCATTCTGACAGGCAGTAAAGATTCTAAAATACAAGATGTACTTTTAGTAGATGTTGCACCACTTTCTCTTGGTATTGAAACAGCTGGTGGAGTAATGACAAAAATAATCGAAAGAAATTCAAGGATTCCATGCAAACAAACACAAACTTTCTCTACATACTCAGATAACCAACCTGGAGTTAGCATTCAAGTATTTGAAGGAGAAAGAGCAATGACAAAAGACAACAATTTGCTAGGAAACTTTGATTTATCTGGTATACCACCAGCACCAAGAGGGGTACCAAAAATTGATGTAACATTTGATATGGATGCAAATGGTATATTAACTGTTTCTGCTAAAGAAATGAGTACTGGTAAAGAGAAAAATATTACAATCAAGAATGATAAAGGACGATTATCTCAAGCAGAAATAGACAGAATGGTTTCAGAAGCCGAACGATATCAAGAAGAAGATGAGAAGCAACGTCAAAAAATTACTGCCCGCAATAGTTTAGAAGGATATGTATTTAGTGTTAAACAAGCAGTTGAACAAGCCGGAGATAAATTAACGAAATCAGAAAAAGACCAAGTAATGCAATGGTGTGATGAAACAGTCAAGTGGTTGGATAATAACACTTTAGCTGAAAAAGAAGAATATGAGGATAAAATGAAAGAAATCAGTAAAGTTTGTAGTCCAATCATGACAAAATTGCATCAAGGTAGTTCACAGACGCAAGCAGGCGGTTGTGGTACGCAAGCAGGTGGTTTTGGAGGTTCAAGATCAGGACCAACAGTAGAAGAAGTAGACTAATTTAACAATGCGCTTAACTTTACTATTCCGTTAATTTATTGAATAACTGTATTAAATTAGACAATGATTTTGTTATTAGATAAATTTTTAAAAGACTGTAAAAATTTAGTTAGAAAATATTAAATTAATTAAATTTCCTATAATTGTTAAAATGTTTATAATAATTTATAATTTTAGCATATTAATTTATTGTAGAAATTAGAAGTATGTATTTAAAAATAAATTTTAATTTAAAAAACAAATGTTTACTGGTATTTATTTTAAAAATAGAAAACCTTCTATAAGTTTTGGAAACCTCTTATATTCAGTTGGTTTATATTTTAATTGTGTAAAAATAAAATTTTAATATTTATAATTCTATACTAAGGAGGGTATAATTTATTCTTGATAAAATTTCGAATAATAAAATTATAAAGATTTCATTCTCCAATTTTGCGTGTTCTCTATCGTTGTAATGCACATAGGAAGACTTAATAATTATTTTTCTTAGTATTTAAATATAAAATTGTTTCTTTGGTACACCTGTTTAATTTTGTGAAGTATCACGACAACACTTAAAACTAAAATATAGAATGAAAAGAATATAGGTACTATCTGAAATTTAACAAAGTCCACTGGAATATTGGAACTGTTTAATTAAATATACTAATTCTTAAACATACATCACACAACCACACATACATATGTACATATCGTAGTTATTGTTACTAACTTACGAATAATACTACATATAAAATATATTCTAAACGTATTCACACTATGTGAAATATAATTATTTACATGTGTGTGTAAAAGCGTAAAATATAAAATCGTTTTGAAAGTATAAACCGGTCGTTTTTCAAATTTTGTTTTACCTTTACTGTGTTCTTTCCTTATAAATATTTTTATTTATTTTTTATTATTATGCTTTTTGGTTTTTTATTTTTAAAAGTATGAATACTGTACCAATACTTAACACAAAAATTTACCAATGTAAACATAAAAGTTGATGTACTCTCATTGTTAGGTTTTCAATCGTTTCTATATAAATATAAGGTAAAAAACTGGAAAGTAGAGTTGTAAAATGAACAAAATAAGCACTTGTAGCAAATATTTTTTGAAAGCTAATATTATTTGCGAAATAGTCCGATAATTGTAAATCTATTAAATATTTTTATTTATTGCAACAGAAAGATTCTTCATATTCAAATAAATATTCAAATTAAATTCGCTGTGGCACATAAATGGTTTACTTTATGTAAACAACATTAAGGTTAAAGAATTTTAATCCTATTACACTTTAAATCATAAACAGTGTATCAAATTTCGAAAGAGTCAGATTGTAATAATTAGTCTTCAGCTTACTAATTACCTAAAATTTTATAATTTGAATAATTTCGAAATCTCGCTGCTTTAGCAGCTAATGAAATTATTACAATCATTAAAGTATATATGGAGCTGCACAGAAATAGACATACATATATATAGGAATCCAATTACGAATATTAAATACCAGATATTTAATTAAACTGGTCTACAAAATTAATATATTGTAGTAAGTCAAATTGACATTTTATTGTTATTGATTTATTTATAAAGAACTTTGAGACAGTGTGTGTCTTTTCTAATAATAAGCTAAAAAACTTTGTATTTAATTTTTAATACCAAAATTATTGAATTTTATTACACGTGCTTGTTCCTTTATATAAAATATAATTTTTCTTTTAAATTACTTATACCTGTGTTTATATGTACATATGCATAACAAACATGCGCACTTAAATTCAAAATTAAATAATATCCTTAAGCATATTGCTGAATTTTATTTAAAATTTTTTATTTTCATTAGTCCATTTTAAGAAAAATATAAAAACCTTTTAATATGAAAGTAGAGAAGAAGGGTGTTAACATATGATTTATTCAGTAATACAATATTAACCGCTGAACAATTTAAATTGACATTAGATTTAAATGCATTTGACATTGGTTTCATATAAAATGTCAAGCAAAAAATTTTAATTATGAGTGAAACAAACAACTTAATTGTTTTGTTTATATTCTATTTCAAATTAGATATTCAGATATATTAGCTGAATTTAGCTGAAATATTAACAATATTGAAAGTATAACACAAAAAATTGTATCAAATTTACTACATAAAACTAAAGTGACAACACGTAAATTGTCAGAAAATTTTTTTCTTTTATTTGTATTTGTTTATTGTTATTTTCGTTTTTTGTTTTTCTTTTGTTTTTCTTGTTATGTTTTTTAATGGTTAAGTCGTTAAATAGATTCGTTATTCAAAGCATTCCGTTGCTAAACTTGGCTTGAATGAGATGTTTTGTTGTCTCTAAGACGGTTTAGAGAAGTGAAATTCAAATATAAAGAAAATAAAAAAGAGAGTAAAACAAAAGTAAAAAGAGAAAAATTAATTGTATAACAAAAATTTTATTTTCAAATTTATTTTTTAAATTAAAATATTATATTTGTGCTAATAATATTTCTTTTGGGTGTGGTGTTTAAAAAATTAAATTAATAAGTTTAAATTTTATAAAATTTTAAAAGAAAAATCTAAAAAGAGAAATTTATAATTTTTTTTCTTTTAGTTTCTCTCATCTTTCTCATTGTATTTGCAATATAAAAATTAAATGAAATTTTAAATAAAAGTTTGAACAAAAAAAAAATTTTTTTAAAAAAATTTTATAAAAAGAAATTAAATAAAAAATAAATAAAAAAAATCATATTGTGTGTTTGTGTTTTTATACAAATAAAAATTTTTTTTTAAAAATTAATTAATTTTTTTTTATAAATGTTCAATAAATTTAAATTAAAAAATATGATTAATATTAAATCAAATAATAATAATAATGCCATGTTGGCAACATTAAAATTATTAAATAAAAATTATAATTTATTTACAATTATAACATTAATATTATGTTATAATATTAATTTAATAAATGCTCAAAGAACACCTACAATATCATATATAACACAAGAACAAATAAAAGATATTGGCGGTACTGTTGAATTTGAATGCTCTGTACAATATGCTAAAGAATATTCTGTTGTATGGACGAAATTAGGTACTGATCCAGTATTTTTAACAACTGGTAGTACATTGGTTATTAAAGATTCAAGATTTGCATCACGTTATGATCCAAATTCATCAACATATAAATTACAAATAAAAGATATACAAGAAACTGATGCTGGTATATATCAATGTCAAGTTGTTATATCAATTGTTAGTAAAGTATCAGCTGATGTTAAATTATCTGTTAGACGTCCACCTGTTATATCAGATAATTCAACACAATCATTAGTTGTATCTGAAGGTAATTCTGTACAAATGGAATGTTATGCTGGTGGTTATCCAACACCAACAATTACATGGCGTCGGGAAAATAACGCCATTTTACCAACAGGTAAATAATAATATTATAAATTTTTTCTTTTCTATATTTTTTGTGTTTTCATATTTTTATTGTTTTTTTATTGGTTTATTTTTGAAATAAAATAAGTTTTTTGTTTTCTAATTATATAAAAATTAAAAAAAAATATTAATTAATTAGATTTAAAGCATCTTCTACACATATACGCGCATACAAATGTAACGAATTAAATGTATGTTTGTATATTGTGCTTTAATGCCAACTATATGCATGTATAGATGTATAAATTTAATTCTTACTTAAAGATATTTATGATAAAATTGCATAAATAACAAAAAAAGAAAACAATTGTTTGTTTATAATTCTTTTGCAATACTTTCACATATACACATACACATTAAGTAAAATGTACAGACATTTTCATATTCTTTTCTTGCAAGTTTTAAAATAGGAACTTAAAAATTTAATTTTATTCGTCTTAATAATGCCTTGCTTACATGAAGTCTTTTGATTGCATTACTTTACCAATATACATACTTACCTATATAATTCATATATACATATTGTATGTACATGTATAAATATGTATGTACGAAATGCATAAGCACCTTTAAGAATCATCCAGTGATCCGTTCAGTTTAATTCCCTTTTCCAATAATAATATGGTCAAATAAATAAAGTGCATAAGAACGGGAGGATAAAAAAAAGAAAAGAGAAGCAAAAGAGAAAAAAAAAGAGCGCGCTACAATTATTTTGAATTTTTGTTCTTCTTTTTCCTTTTCTGTAATTCCACTTACGTTCTTTTTTTTTTTCTATTTATACGCACAGGTATTTTTAATTTTTTTTTTGTTCTTATTATTTTATTAAATAGAATTATTTCTCATGTCTCCTCCATTTGATTATTTCCATTTTTATTTTTTTATTGCTTTTGTTTTCTTAAGATCAAAATAACGAAGAATAAGGGTTTTTATTTTTAAAGTTTCATTTATAAATTGGGATGGCACGATAGTGCAGTTTAATATTTTCAAAATTCTCTAATAATAAAATTCACAATTTTATGATATATAATTAAAAATTTCAATTCATATTTTAATTTAAGAAATTTTTGATTAATTTTAACATTAGAGATTTTCATGAACGCAATACTGCCAAAAAATACTTGTAAAACGCAATACTGCAAAAACATATCGTGATGAAATCAAAACAGTTTGTATGATTTAACTGCGCTACACCACGTACAAATCTCTGTAATGTCTGGACTGGTTATGAACAAATTAGATTAGCAACATTTGTTGAACGCAATTTTCGCTGTAATAACGCTATAGATTACGTTTACGTAGAATGAAAATAAATTTTTTCAAAGTGCATTTGAAACTTTCAGATAATTGTCAGATATTGAATTTTTTTGACATATTTGTATTTAATTTTTATGAATATTATTGATTAAAAATGCAAATTTAATTGCTAATTTTTAAAATTAGCAATTAAATTTGCATTTTAAACCTCAGGTTCATTTTAGTTGAGAAATTTAATAAACAATTTATATGACATCCAAACTGTAAGCTCCATACCGGTTAATTTGGATATTAATTTAACTGTCAAAGATGATAAATTTTCTAACTAATTATAGGTATATTATATACGGTTAGTATAGAACATATCTGTTTAGTTGTAACAAGTCAAGCTTAGTTGTAAAGAATAAAAATTAAGCGGCTAATTTTTTCAATGCTCTCTTTATTACTCTTGCAAAAATTTGACATTTATTTTATATTGTTGTTATCATTGTATTATATTGTTGTTTTGTTAGGTCCCATCTGGCCAAATCAGTAAATTCAATTTTATTTACTTCAAATTTCAAAATTTACTATAAATTTTCGGAAAATTAACAAAAAAAAAATTTTCGTCTAAATTTTTATTGTTGATAGAAAATGTTTATAAACTTTAAGTGTTACCGTATAATATTTTATGAAAATATTGTAGGTGAGTTTTCTATCTCCCGTACTATTCATTTAAAATTTAAAAAATAAAAAAAATTAAGAAATTTTATACCGTGAAAGGACATAAAGATAGACAATAATATAAAAAGAATATAATAGGGATAGGGAAACATAAAGAAATAAACGTTAAACATAATATTATAAACATATTAGTGTATATACAATATTATACATTTCTTATTGTGCATATATTGCAAAATAGTTGTAGGTTGTTATACGTTTTATACAAAAAAAAAAAAAAAAATGAAAAACAAGTCATGCGAAATTACGAAATATGAGATCAAAAGTGCAGCTTGAAAATTAATTCCTGAAATATACAATCATTTTTCTTTTATTTCTCCTTTACAAAAAAAAAAATGAAATGAACTCTTGTAATTTTTATTTTTTTTGTTTTTTTTTTTTATATTTTGAAAACATTATTTTAATGTATGTAAGTAAAATATTGTGCTTAAAATGTATGACAGCAAAACACAAAATTGTTATACGTTCTTAGAGCTACAATGCTAAAACATTCATGAACATTTTGTATTTTACTATTATAGCCCCCCCCCCCCCCCCCCCTTCTCCCACCCCGTTTTTGATATAAAACCTATTTGAATTGAAATTTTCTATCTTTTATATACAATTCTTACATGATTTCTAATATATAGGTGCTTACTTCATTTAAAATTTCTTAAAAAGAATGAAAACGGCTTGTCTAAACAAAATCAAAAAGAACTTTTAACCTCGAAAAATTCTTTGAAAAAAAAAATGATTTCGTTTACGAATAATTTTGTATTTTTTTAATTATAAAAAATTTATGTCAAAATATATTATGTAATATTTTTCAAATAAAATCATTCGTAATTAAGTATATATATAGTGCATCTGTCTTAAAAAAAAAATCGACGTGCAAAATAAAATGCAAAAAATTAAATTTTCACCTGGTTATAGCTGACTAAATATTGAGTCATCAACAAGATATTCTTATTATTAAAATTATCTTTTTTACATATTATATTGTAGAATATTATTAGTTATGGTGACCATATTAATGGTAAACAAAATAGAGGACAGACTTTAAATAAAAGACATTCTGTCATTTTATAACAGTTATTATATATAACAGTTTTATCAGCTAACAATAATTGCTACAAAATGATTACTCCTTCGCGATTTATAAATATTAAATTAGTATATTCTTCTCGTCATTAATAATAATAAATTTGTATATTAACTGTAAATGGTAGCCTTAATAAAATAATAAAATGTGTTATATTTAGCAGCGACTTAAAAAATTAATTGAAATTGATAGAGAAAATGAGAATGAAAACTATATCTCATTTTCTCAAAAAACGGTTTAATTAATCAAAGCAAAAAATGACAAATAAAATGACTCTCTTTTTAAAACTTTAAAAAATAAAAATTTTAGTTTTGCGAAAATTTGCATTGACGCATTGAAATTTCATCTCCTTTTGAAATTTTTTCAAAAAAAGTAACCAACACACTGTTTCATAAAATAAAATTTTAAACAAGAGAATAAAATCAAATATTCCAAAATTTATTTAATTACAATTTTTTTTTTTTAATTAATTTATTAAGGAAAATTTAAAATTTAAATTATAAAAATTCAACAACATTTTGAGGAGACTTTTGACATAATATTGAAGAGAGTAAAGTACTGTCCTCTGTTGTAAAGTAAATTACAAATGGTCACCATAAATATTATTTATGTCACATACATATTATACCTATTTAGTTAGTATATAGGTAACATACTAGTTATTTAAAAATAAAACGCTGACTTATACTGTTAATGGTCTCATTTATTTTTTTTTCTTATTTTACCTTCATAATAATAAGAAACTTCAATGTTATTGCTCCAATAATTTCAATGGCAAAGAAATTTTGTAACTTATTTTATTAAAAAATAAAATAAGGTAGAAAAAAAAATAAAAAATTGACAGATTTCAAAATTTTTTCTTTCATATTTAAAAAAAAATTTTTTTTCTAAATGGAAACCATACTCGTAACTATTTTCATGAAATGAAAATATAGAATAATATTACAATTTGTATATGAATGTATGTATGTATGTATAGGTAACAAAAATAATAACATGAAACTCTTATGGGTCTATATATAAAATACACGTGATTAACCCAAAAAACTGGTTTTCTTATAATTTTCTTGATTTCAACTTTTTTTTTTCTTCTTTCAAAGCTTAAAATATTATTAAGTATATTAAAAAGGCTTGGTTTATATATCATACATAATCATCTTATACATACATACGTATATATATAATTATATTTTCCACCTATTTGCTATACATTCTCTACTACATTCATAATAAATCGTCTTATAGAATAAAAATTGATCTTTTAAATATTATATGTAAGTATATATGTATGTATGTATATTAAGTATATTATAATTTATAAGTTGCTGAATGCCGATATTTCCAATTCAATGTGTAGTTTTTAAGTCTCTATTAAAATCTTGTCTTTTAAAGTGTGTATATATACTGCACATCTTAAGTAATTCTATTTGTTTGTATTGAATATTTGCTTGTATTTGTTAGAAAAATAAAGTGATCGCATATTCTATAGAGAATGGAGAAGAAAATAATATACTTATTCACCGCGATTTAAGATGTTCCGTCATACATACATTCATACATCTACATAATATATGTAAATATGTGGGAACATACTTTTAGGAGCGCTTTTTTTTTTTTTTGAGTTTCATTTTCTTTCAATAAAATTTTTATGCTGCTCTTTTTTTTTTGTGTTCATCTTTTAAAATATTTATAAACTGATCAAACAATAAAGAGCATATACCAAGATATTTAACTATTATGTATCTACATATACATATATGTATGTATAAAATTTGAAGAATAAGTCACTAATAATCTAAAAACAAGAATTTTTACTCTAAATTATGTACCTACTCTTGAGTATATTTTTTAAGAAGCTATACTAACTAGAACCAATTTAATATCTATACTATGTATGTATTAATGTGTACAGAGATGTATGTTATTTGTTTTAT